ATAGAATCTACCTTACAAAGAAGCGTAACTGTGGGAAAGACCGCGGGCGAGGCCCAGAGCCACCTGCTACTCACATAGGTTTCAAATATGGATACCTTTGTGCACAAAGAAGACGCAGTAGCATCCATGATGCGTTTGAATGCAAAGAAGCTGCTTTGTGTTTTACGTAGACAATGGAAAAGGGTATCTTCACCCGTCACTTGGAACCCCAGGGGAACCCCTAGAAAAATGAAGGTCTCAGAGACACGGAGGGGGGCTACCGTGTTCATCCCCCAGATGCCATAGTGTTCGCCTATGGGGCCTTGCAGTACAGAGCTTTTAGAGATATTAATATGGAGACCAATGGCTGTCAAAGCGCCCTGGACTCTGCGGAGTCTATGCTGAAGATCTTGTGGGCAGGTCCCAAAAAGTAGGATGTCGTCAGCATATATAAGGAGAGCTGGGAAAGAAACCCCGCAAATGTTAACCGGAGCCACTTGTTGTAAGTCGCGGATAACAGAATCTAGTGTCCATGCAATAATTCTCGAAAAGAGCTCAGCGCTGTAAGATGTTCCTTGAAGTATGCCTTTGCCTAGTGATTGTTTCCAGGACTGCCCTCCTACCTCCAGTATAACTTCATTGTCAGTGGATAGATGCCAAAGTGCCAGGGCCTCTTTACAGGGAGCTAGTTCACGAAGATAATGAGCGATTGCCCTATGGGATAACGAATCGAATGCGGCTTTAATGTCGAGTTTTGCAAAACACAGGGGATTGCTCGAGCGCTTGCTGACCGATATTGCGGCCCGCGCCGTGTTAATTCCATCCATAGCTTGTCTGCCCGGGTGGCAGCCTAATTGGAGGGGATTGCATGCAGGAGCAAATTTACGAATTCTGTAGATTAGGATGCGACCGAAAAGCTTGGCCACGGTGCTAGTGAGACATATAGGACGCAAGTCAGCGGGACTAGTCGGGAGTTTGATTTTGGGTATCAAACTAATTCTTCCAGTTTTCCATTCTGGTGGGATGTTCCCTGTATACATAGTGTCATTTAGAAAGCTGCAGAACGAATGCTTCAGATCTGTGAGCATCAGTTGTTTGAGCAGGCTATACGGAACACCGTCCTCACCGGTGCAAGTCTTGTTATCCAACTTACACAAATGTTTGGATATCTCCTCAAGGGTGATAGGTTCATAGCGGGCGTGACTGTGTTTGCGCAGAAGCTCTTCGACAATAGGGGAGATTGGGGTAACATCCTCTTGCATGTACTTATGTTGATAAAACGACTTCACATCCATCTGTGCCTTAGTTGCTCCCCCTGCCCGTTGAAGGAAGCCCGCATCTGTCGCCGATGTGGCTGAGCTCCTCTTAAGGAACGATATGGCGGATCTGTCCCCTGCTTGAGCACGTTGCAAGAGTTCGGTTTTGTGCTCTAGCTTGGCTTGTTTGCGTGCTTCATGTATACATGCAACTAATTTGGAGCGTGCATTCGGGTCGGATGACTGTTTACGTTGGCGTATAAGTTCATGCACATGCAGAGGATCTTTATACCGAAGACTAGGAGGCTTAACCACAGCTTTATCCCTGAGTGCATACAAGGTTTCCAGGTCGAAGGCTTGGTGGCAGGAAGCAGCCGCTTCAAGCCGTCGCGGATCCGTATCCCAGACCCCACACAACGTCCTACGATATTGTGGTCTCGCTAAAGGGTCTTTCGCTGAGCAGTTCACTAGGAGGGCGTTGTGGTCGGAGGGAAGCCCTAGGCGCAAATCAGAACGGTTTTCAATAGAGGTACACATCCCTAATCCACGGAAGAAAACAAAGTCAATCCTGGAGGAGGATCCCCTAGCAAACCATGTATTACCCTCGGTGGGAAGCATGCGCAGATCATGTTGTGCTATGACGGTTCTGAAGTGTGGCATGCCAGCGAAAGTGTCATAATGCAATGTGAAGTCCTGGTTAAGATCAACTGAAAGAAGAACCAAGTCGTGAGGCCCTGCTACGTGGAGGATGTCCGAAATTTCAGGGGTACCTTTTTCCCATACTGTTTTAGCATCCTCACGTTTGGAATGAGGTAGGTGGAAGGTACACAATAATATAGGTCGCCCGCCTGTTGGCTTAAGGTAAACGCCGAGACCAACCGAGGAAACATAGGTAGACTGCACGTACTCCGAAAAAGGGTGTCGAATGAGGATGCACACATGTCGAAAACTTTGAGCTGAATCAACATGAAAGCAAGAGTATTTCTCGCTACCTGACCAAACCGTAAAGGAGAGTGCCGAATTAGGAGGAGTTTTTCCAAGTCCCCCAACTTCTTGCAGCAGAACAAAGTCTGGTGGATGAATTATTCCTTGCATAGTGTCTAGAACCTCTTGAACGGATTTACCACGAACATTCCAATGCACGGCCTGAGCATCGAAAACCGGCCTGCTTCGAGAGGCATGTTTAGCTGCCCCAGTTTCGCACGTGTCCCTGTCTCTGCCACCTTCCTACGCATCACAGGTCTGCATAACCTCGTCCACTCCACAGCCTAAAAGGCGAGCTACATGTGCCACATCTATGTACCAACCATTGTGCGACCCTCGTACATCAGAGAGTGGGTGGTGTTCAGCGGGCGGCGTGCGCTGTGCTGCATGGAAGAGTATATTCTCCCCGTCTAGGTAAACTCGTCCTTTCCATTCGAATTCCGTCCTAGATTCCGGCGACGCAAGCTTGTGCATGATTTCACGGGTGCGCAGAATACTACGTATCATTTGTCGATCCTCCGGTGATCGGTTCCTTTGGAACCACAAACGATTGCCCCCCTGGCCTTGGATTTTCGTCGCATAGGTGTCCTTGAGTACTTGTAATACTTGTGTCTGCATAGCTCGGCGTGCACTCAGGTCTGCAACAGGAGGGAAGTTCAGTTCGATACGCACAATGTTTGAGCGCAAGTACGGCACATAGACTTCCTTGAGCACCTGGGGACCACCATGGGATGCGAAGAACTCGCGGACTTCCTGCTGTAGGTCTGCCCGTTTAGCATTGGTAAACCCGCCGATTACTATTTGTAAGTCATCGATCGGCTTGCCTCCGATACTGGAAGCAGTGGTGGACCCCAACCCACCGCCCCTGGGAGTGTTGCCGCCCATACTGCGGGGGGTAGAGGGCGACGGGGGTCGGGACTTAAGCGCCGATAGCTCTCGTTCCAAGCGGGTAATCCGTCCCTCCGTCTCTGCATGCATCTTCTCATGTGCCTCAGTTCTAGTCTGTAGCGTGTTGATGCAGGCCGAGTTTGCTCTGGTAGCTTCCGTGCATGACGAGAGTTCGGAAAGAAAACGGTCCTGTTGTGACACCAGCTTATGTAAGTCTGCCTGCAGCGAAGACAGCCACGGGGGGTTGCTTGGAAGTGCATGCTGAGGGTTGTCAGGCAAGGGCTGTGGGAGTTCATGGGTTGGTTCAGCTGCTGCCGGTTTAGCCTCACTCAAGCCTGGGGGACCCACAGTATCAGCACGGGCACTAGCATTTCTTCTAGGTCCTCTACGGGGAGAGGGCAAACCGGACTGTAGGTTACCTGCAAACTGCGGCGGGGCAAGGGTGGTAGGCCCTGCGGGTTTACCGAAATCAGGAGACTCCGTATGCCTAGGGGGAGGAACAGGTGGTGCAGAAGGGAGGGGGGTGCTACCTGCAACAAATTCGGGAGGTCCTACGGACTTACCATCAATATGATGAAGTTCGTCGTCATCTGCCTCATCATTGACCGTGAGATCAAATTCCGCAATGAAATCCGGGCTGGAGCGCTTCTTCTGGGGGGAGTCTAAGGGAGGCGGAAGGTTGGCTTCGTCTGCTGTCCTAGCTTTGTTGGTATCCACTACCATTGCAGCCATTTCATTAGGTGCCGGAAAGGTGAAAGTAGGATGACCATCCAATTCGCCTACATGAACTGGTCCACCTAATGCGGCCGTAAGAGCTTCTCTTGCAGCATCAATACTGTTCGGGGAGGCAGGCTGAGTGGCCTGAGAGTCGGGCCGACCTGAGCTTTCCGTATCCACAAAAGGAATAGGCTTACGATCGTCAACCCAACCCATCTTTTGTTTCCAGTCCTCGAAGGGTTCAAGATGAGGTGGTTCAGCCCTGTTTGCCCCAGCAGTGACCCTTGCGTTAAGTCCAGACAAAGCATCAGACATGGCTCAAGACAGGGACGAGACCAATCGCCAAAAGATCCCTCAATTCCGAAGCAGAAGAAGAAAGACTCGCAGCACACCCTTCACCGCAGCAACTACAGTAGAAGAGGCAAGCAGTAGGAGGCACAAGCAAGTCGTAAGTACAGGGGGGGGGTATCAGGGACTGCCTACCCTGCAGCGGCCTCTACACCCACAGCGGAGCACGGCCTTGAGCCAAAATGGCTTGAGCCAAAATGGCAAGGTTTAGGGGCTTAGGGTTTAGGGTCTAGGGTTTAGGTTTTAGGGTTTAGGTTTTCGGATTTAGGGTCTAAGGGTTTAATATAAGGTGTCTGAATCCATGGGATTTGGTTGTGGGGCAGAAATGATAGTATTTCGAATCTGACCCCCGGGATGCACCGAAGGTGGTGGGGATCACAGGTTCGAGTTTCGAAGCGATGAACTTGCTCGGTTAAGGGGGTTTAATACAGGGGCCTTAATGAATAAAATGGGGTTTGGGGGTAGAAGTTTAATATAAGGGCCTTAATAGATAAAATAGGGTTTGGGGGTAGAAGTCAAAAAAGGAACCTCACAATTGATATTGGCTATTATGCAGGCCCCTAAATTACGAGTTGAGGGGTTTAGGGCTTTGGGTTTAGGGTGTAAGGTTCAGGGTGTGGGGTTTAGGGTTGGCTTAGGGTAATGCCAGCACACATGGCGACGGCACGTGTATGAACAGGTGCGGATCTGTGAATGTTCAATCCGGAAGTATGCATATGCAAAAATTGCATACCTAAAAACTATGTGGCTACACGCAGGCTTTTATGGTTCTTTTGATACATACACACAAAACACCCAGGGCACTTGGAAAAATGCAGAACACCTGTCTCAACAGGAACCAGGAATCAATGCGCGGAGGCAGGCTTCGTGAAAGCAATGGCCGCAGGCGAAAGCATAGAATCGCTCGCGCAAGACATCCCCGCCGCAGAGCTCACAGGCTTGATCCTGCGCCACCACAATACCTGTGCTGTGTTGAAGTAAACCCTCAACCCTTCAACCCCTAAACCCTTGGTAAACCCTGAACCCTTTTCCCTAAACTTTATACACATCTTTAAACCCTGCAACCCTAAACCCTGACTATACCCTAAGCCCTAACCCGTAATTATACCCTGATACCCTAAAACCCAACTAGACCCTAAGCCCTAACCCGTAATTATACCCTGATACCCTAAAACCCAACTAGACCCTGAACTGGGGTTTAGGGTTTTAGGGTTTTTAGGGTTTAGGGTGTTTGGGTTTTTGGTGTTTGGGGTCTAAGGGTTTAGGGATTGTGGGTAAAAGAGCGGACCAGAATGTCGGAGTTTCAGTCAATCAGGAACCCCAATCTAGACCCTGGAAAGTAGGATCTTTAGTAAATGAACCCCTTCAGGAGGGGACGCCTTAGGGTTCCGGATGGTTTCGGATTAGGGTTTCGGGCTTCGCGAAAGTTCGAGCCAGGTGCAACGCTCCTCCGCCTGCTTCAAGTCCTCCTTGAAGGCTTTCAATGCCCTTCCTGGGCGGCTCTTAGGGTTTAGGGTCGATAGGGTTTAGAGCTGAGGGTTTAGGGTCTGCGGGTTTTGGTGTTTAGGGTTAGGGCCGGCTTAGGGCAAAATTACGGCTTCGGCTCCTCCTTAAGAACCCACTACACTGAAATTTGCTCCTTCTTAAGAACATGCTATACTTTGCTGCGGTGTTAAGACGAGACTAGAATCTTGAAGAAAGTTGAAAGACGTCGTTGAGCCCTAAACCCTCACGGACCATAAACCCTAAACCGTGAACCCCAAACCCTAAAATGGTTCTGAAACAAGAATCCCAAACCCTAGACCGTAAAATTGCTGCTAAACCCTAGACTGGTTCCGAAGCAACGACCCTAAACCCTAGACCGTAAACTTGCTCCTAAACCCTAAAATGGCTTCGAAACAAGAACCCCAAACCCTAGACCGTAAAAAATTGTTTCTACACTGTTAACAGCTTCGAAACAAGGACCCTAAACCCTACACTTTAAACGGTTTCGAAACAAGGACCTGGTTTCGGTGGTCATCCATCTCCTGCCGCAAGGTCACGATTTGACCCTCGTAGGTGTCCAAACACTCACAGATCTCCTCGGGTCCATAAGAGTTCTGAGGCTCTCTTAGTGGATTTATAAGGTTTCTACAAAGGTTCTACAAGTTCTGAGGCGCTTTTGACGGGTTTATAAGGTTTCCACAGGGTTCTAGAACTGTGTTATGTGGGTGCTACAGCGGCTTTGAAGGCTTGTACCAGGGGTTGTGCATGGGCTTCATTAGCGTTTTGTACAAGGGTCCCCCAGTATTCCCTTAAGACATCTTAATCTTAACCGAGCCCATCGATACCAAAAAGAGTACTATTGGTGGCCTGGTCTCGGCTTTGAAAGCATCTATGGTCATCGAGTCTGGGAGATATGGCAGCACATCTCGGATGGTAAGCTCCTTCGACTCCCTGATCAACCCAATGATTTTCTGCACGTCACAGGTTGCAGCTTCATGCTCCACAATTTTCAGCCAGAGCTTTCGTCGCAATCTCTTCTGAGAAAGAGGGGGTTTGCAAGCGCTTTGCTTGGCCAACGCCACATCTCCGTGCTGCAGCGCCACGTCAACGGACTCCTCGTGCATACCCATATGCCCGTACAAGAAGACCTGGGATGGTTTTGGGGGAGTAGGGCCCCCCAAAAGCACATAAGCAAAAACAAGGATAGGGATATCCCATCTAAACCCCCTTAGAATGGAGTATGTTTATGTCGTTTTGATGCCCCATAAGCTAAAGGGTTTAGGGTTTGAGGCAATCTTTGGTTTATGACCTAGGATTGTAGGGCTACGGGTATAGGGTTCTAAGAACTGCAAGAATCCTAACTAAACCTCGAGCCGTAATACCGAGGTCTGACTACTTAGCGATTGTCCCCTTAAGATAGGCTGCTGATTAAGAAACCAAGTGCCTTCATTACAAAGAACTTGACTAGAGATCCTAACCTTAATGCCCTTAAAGAGGGGGGCGCTGATACATCAGGGATCCCTGAACCCAAACCGTAGCATTAAGCCTGAAGCCCTAAGCGTAGTTGCTTCCGGTCACTTGCATCTGGACCAAAGAAGAACCCAAAACGGTTACCGACTTCCACTTTACAGTTTAGGCGTTGTTCTTTATCACAAAGGCCCCCCACCTGGGCCTTCACCAAATCTCCTTGTCGACATACTCGAAGCGCGAAGTGCGGATCCATAAACGGATTGGACTCCTACAGGGTGTCGCATCTTTTGAAGGTTGCCTAGCTCGCAACCTTTGCAAGTAATCCTTGGGATCAGGTTGATTACCACGATCGTAACGGTTGTACGTATCGCCGACAGCTGGTTGTCAGAACTAAATAGTGCTACGGCTACGGGCAACCCCCCAAAAAGCCTGCTATCACCGTGAGCTCCCTGACTATGCAGGGCTAGTGTTCGTTTATTATTAAAATAGTTAAAATAGTTGCTTATTACGTTGACTATGAATATTATGCTTATTGTCTTACAGCTGCTCTTCTTATTGATCACAAGGACAAGGGTCTACCAGTACTCCAAGTCTCAAGAGTCACGAGGCGAGGCGGGTGCTCACGCTACCCCACTACTACACCCTAAACCCTAAACCCTAAACCCTAAACCCTAAACCGTTACACCCTGGGCCCGAGGTCTTCTTCTTGTGATCACTGGACGGGGCACCCCGCCTCGGCTGTTAGGAGCCTCAACAAGGCCCTCTCTGCGTCGTTTCCGGCACCCATGAGAACTGCATCAGCGGTGGAATATTCCTCACCTGGGCAGTAATGGCTTACATTTGGCGGTGTCGGGGTGTCACGGGGTGTCATTTGGGGATACTAGGGTTGGGAGGAATCTTACTCAAGGGCTTCGGGTTTGGTAACCCTCAACATGAGGTTTGGGCCACATGGTTTTCAGCAAAAGGTCCCGCTTTACCCTAAACACTCATTTTACACCCGGACTTGATGAATGCCAGCACCCCAAACTGCCCCAAACCCTTCAGATGGGCTGGGGAGAAAGTTTGTGGCATACAGGCTGGCGCTGCGCAAGGCACTTTAACAATGTCGATTATTTACTGGCTTGCTAAAACTAACGCCAGACAAAGTCCCGGGCATCAAACCTCTATCTCGGAAGCCCCATAAACAACCTCCCGTAAGCAATGCATATAGTTCAATCGGCACTTTCGGTTAAGAACTATTCCTTTCCAACCCTGGCATCCCCAGAATCAAGCCCTGACATGCCCATGAACAACCCAATACCCCCAGACAGCCTCCATGTCCCATTGAAACCCTTCAACAACCCTATACAACCTTTGTATAAACAGCATAAATCCCGCTGATAAAGCCTTTACAAGCCCATTTCGAAAACCTGACAAACCATCAGTGAACCATTTTAGACTCCTGGATTTCGGGGTACCGAACTCCATCAACACCAAAACCTTAAACCCCCCGAATCCCTGAACTGTAACCCCTAAACCCTAAACCTTTCAACCCCTAAACCCCTATATAAACCCTAGACCCTAAACTCAGGCCCGGTCACCTTCATGATTGTTACCATCTTCCAAGTACTGAGCTGAACATAAGACGAGCGTGTTGAGTATGGCGGTGCCTGGATTGATTTAGGGCTTAGGGTCTTTAGGGGCTGAGGGTTCAGGATGTAGGACTTAGTATGGGCCGTATGGGCTAGGGTCCGCCGACCCTGGCGGTGTGCCACTCCACTTTTTTATTGCTTATTTTGGGTGGCAGGAGAGTTGTAAGTTGAGCAAGTTGCAGCTTGAGAGGAACGGAATGAATGTACACTTGGCTTAGCAGCTTAGCAGCACGAACCCCTGTGTTCGGGCTGTGCTCTTTCTTCTAACATCGAGTTTTCGGGCTTTGGAGTCTGTGGAAGTCTCGGTGGCATTGCTGTTTCTGCATGGCAAGGCTGATCGCCATGAGCCACTGACGGCCATATCTCACCGAATGCACCGGATTTCTTTCGACCTCCGAAGTTAAGCGGTGGAGAGCCCGCCTAGTACTGGCCTGGGGAACCGGCTGGGAAGCGCTTAGGGTGTTGTCAGCTTTCTTGTGCTGCAGCCCGCCAAGACACCACTGTTCAGATGTGCGAGATTGTCGACTGGTGCCTGGACAATGTGTTCATCCCAGAGGCAGGATTTGCCGGATTCCCTTTGGATGGGTTTCGATGGGCTTGGAGGTGTTAACCTCCCTTCAAGGAGCACCCAAGCCCCAAAAGCATCACACCACAGCCCATTGGGTTCAAATCAGTTCACTGTAGGGGACCCAATTTTTTTCTCCTTTTTCCTCCCCCTCCTCCCCCCCTCCCCTCCCCCCCTCCCCCTCCCCCCTGCCCGCCTCCCCCCTCCCCCCCCTCCCCTGCCTGTACAAGTGCATTCGGCTTCTGGTCTGTCGCCCACGGGGTCGGCGGCTTGAGCCGGAGGCTCTTAAATCGGGCAGCGCTTGGCTGCCCTGTATGGACTGAGCTATGGCTCAGACGAATTGCCTTCTCCTGCGAAGCAAAAGCCACGACGGCTTGTGCCGCCGACCCGCCGCCGACCCCGCATCATCGGACCTCCGTTTCTCCATCGGGCCGCGCGGGCCCTGGCCCGGAGGCGTCTCGCAACGCGCACGCGCTTCGCAGCCATTCCCCACGGCATGGCGGGTTTCGGGGCCGCCGTGGACGACCCCAGGAGGCGAGCCGGCGAGCATCATGAGCACTCGGACGCCCGCAACCGGCCCCGCGGCGCGAAGTGGGCGCGAAGTGATGATTTCCAAGTTTTTGCGTGGGTTGCGGAAGCCCCAAAAGGGCGCGCATCATCAGCATCAGCGGGGTCCGGCGGAGGGCGGATGCGGGCTACATGGAGGGCCGACGAGGGCTAAGAGCCTAAGATCACCCATAAGTTGTGCACTTCGGGCCTACGTCACACTTTTTTTCCGGTGTCGAGCTGTCGTTGTCTCGGCACCGTCTGGAAATTTTGACCGTGTCTTTCCCGTTCCCCCGCTACATCCGCTGACAACAACTCGCGCTGCCCGCACCTGGGCGCAGCCCCTAGAATTTAATGGATTTATCGCGACTTGATGGGGCCGTCAACAGATTTGCTGGGTTGTACGGAACATAATCTTACGGCACATAACCTATTTTACTCGTACCACAGAATCGGTAGGTAGTGAACGATCGGGCTGCAGGAATAGAACGACTTACACCAAGCTCCTGAACAAGAACCTAGGTACCTGTGGCCCAACCAAACCGTTGACTTGCTCCGCCGGTGCCGTCATCATCCACCAGGTTGTGCAGCAAGCTGCCTGTCCGGAAAGAGCTCGCGCGCACGTCCGCATGGCCGGAGAATTCCAGCGCATGACGCGCTGCATGCTCGAGATAGCGCATGGCTTCCAACCTATGTGTGGGAGATGTACTGGGCGTGTAGATGCCGGGGAGCACCAACAATGGATCCACACCGGACAGCTGTGGCCGCAGCAGAAGCGAAACGAATGCTTTGGGCTCGGCTCCAAAGAGAACCTGCGGTCTTCCTAGATAACTTAGCTTGAGCTACAAGGATTAAGAATCCAAAACTGTATACTAGATACTCATTTTAGATACATATAGTTCGATCTACCTTAGTAAAGCATGAATGCTTTTGCACTGGACCACCATGTTGATAGTATGCTCCTGTTAATGGTATCCATTATCGTATCTTGCGTTGAAATCCTGAACCGAGACCCAGGGACCGGAGCGAAGCGACAGACAAGCTCCTGTGCATTGGAGCCTTTGAAATCTGAGAGCTTTTGGATGGCGTTGCCATACTCCCGCCGACTCACGTGGTGCCTATGCATTTGGGAGTTTCCAAAAATTAGGGGTACCTTATTTGGGGTCCCTATAATAAGGATCCTACTATTTGGGGTCCTATATTAGGGTCCCAAAGCTAGCGGTTCCTTTTAGGGTTACTAAATCACTACAGGGGATCCGGGCGCCTAAGTTTTGGGTTGAGGGTTCTGAAGTATTCCCAGGAACTCCAAAAATCTACAGATCCCTCTCTAAGAAATCATGGTTTGAGTTGTTTCCGGGTCTTTGGGTTGCGTAAGGCTACTCTGGTCCTTGAAAAAAGATCCCAGGGTACTACGGTTGATGATATAAATCCTGCACTACCTTCATGACCCTAATCTATGGGAATTATGGTATATTCCTAATTATGGGTAATGCAGGATTTATACCATCAGCCGTAGTATGGGCCCTTAACCTTAGGATCCTGATATACCTACTATATACCCTATATAGACTCTTGAGAGTGACTAGAACTACTCTGTGACGCAGGCACAGGATGACCGTCGTGAAATCTCGCCGAATCTCGGCAAACTGCGCCAACTCATCCAGCCAGCCATGACTTTGCCTTACTTAGAGGATCATTGGACTTAGTAAGTAGGTTATAATTGGGGTTATAAGTCCCCTAAGTGGGGTTGTCCTAATTATAACCTACTTATAACCTTACTTACTAAGTCCCATGAGCCTTCAAGTAGGTTTAGGGCTTCCTAGGCGAGCTGGAGGTTAACCTTTGGGATTACATAGATGGTATGATATCCAATAACCGGTTACAGGTTACTTGCTCTGCTACTAAGCCGCAGTAGGTGGTAGATGGTGGCATGCACATCTAGGTCACGGCTCTCTTTGAGAAGGTTCAGAAGGGTTTGGCGCTCTTCAGAGCCACGAGCTTCAAAGTTGCTTGAAAAGCTCGCGGCGTTTAATCTTGCCAGGGAAATCTCCACGGCCCAAACATACAGCAAAGCTCGGGTAACCTGATCGTCTGCACGAGTGAGCCGACATCGAAGATACTCCACAAGTGCTGCCTTCATATCTGCACCAAGGAATCTTAAGGCCACATGCTCAAAAGGAACAGCGGTGGCTTCAGCAAACTTCCGGGCAGACTCGATGCCTTCGCCTTCCCGGAAGAGCCAGTCGGCATGGGCGGCGAGCACCCGCATCCTCTGAGATTGCTTCTTGCATGCAGCTAAGGCATCGTCGAACTGCTGGAATCTCAGGAGCAAAGCCCACACGTTTCCTTGGATCCAACAGTAGCCGACATGGGCAGCCGAAGCATACCCTGGAAGCACCAGTGCTTACACTAAGGCCGATCTCGTCACGGGAGACTCCAATATCCCTTAATTAAGGAATATCCCTTAAATTATAGTACGATCCCTAGTGCGATATACGGAATATTCCTCAATAGTGGGATATTGGAGTCTCTGGGTAGGAACCCGAACGAGTAATGTTATAACTCGGTCAGGGTTACAATTCTGAAGGCACGCAGAACACAATACTATCTGTTTTGAGGGGAGTTTAAGGTAAAGCCTCGTGCACTCCGAATGCAGAACCCTGGAGGTGTTTTTCAGAAGGGTGCGCGGTTCCCTGGGTAGGGTTTTAGGTAATGCACTTTCCTGAACCACGGACTACCCTAAACCCCAACCTCCCTGAAGCATGGACGGACTCTTTGACCTGAATCTTTTGCGGCTTATGGTTTGAGGTTGAGCGATATGTCTTCGGCTTAGGACTTAAGCTTTAAGCCAGGCTCTATCTTAACATGACCCCAGCATTGTGCCTTGTTACAGCTGCAGAGGGCCGTAGTCTAGGCAAGCCTCTATCCTCCTTCTCCGTAAGCACTTCGAATGCATGGCGCTCCGAGCAGATCCAAAGCCGCTCACCGTGCTGGTCGCGAGCCAAACTCCGGAGGGGTCCGTATGTTGACATCGCCCAATCCTGGCTCGGCGGTTTAGGGTTTAGGGTTTGGGGTTTAGGGTTTAGGGTTTAGGGTTTAGGGTCTCGGGTTCAAGGTTTAGGATTTGGAGGAACCCTAAACCCTTTATCCTTACGTTGACATCGCCCATTCCTGGAGTGCAACATTGACGGTTTAGGGGGTAGACAGGCAGGCATTTGTGAACGAAAATGAATCTACGGTTTTTGTACAACTATGTATACTTACATTCTCCGTCCTGCAAGATACATGTATATGTTATATATACACATAATATATATATATATATATATATATATATATAGACACACAACCGAACTACCATGAACCGCGAGGGAAATCCAAGGATCTTGTTGCTGTACCACTTCGTGGGTGATCCGGCTCACAGCGACCCAGCGGTCCTCAAAGGCGAACAAGATGTGGTACCTCAGCAGGGGCCCCCACCCTGTAAGGGTCCCTTTAAAGGGATCTATAGGGGTTCTATAAAGGGGTTACGGTGGGTTTTAGGGTTTGGGGCCCCCACCCTGTAATAGTGGTGTAATAGGAATATAATAGGGCCCTAATATATTCATTATAGTCACTATTACAGGGTGGGGGCAGCTTCTAAGTGGTACCTGGGTTTCACTGAGTTTCTTTGGGCTCCCACCAACAAGTCAACCTTAAAGTTCTGGCCGGGATACATGCAAGTTATGTGCCCAACCATATATTTGCCCTTAGTAGCTCTTGAAGGATTAAGTCTTTGATGTATGCATGCATGCAATCTCAAAGGTTGAAAGAGGGTGAAAGCTGGTGAGGTACTTTGTCAGGGCCATCGAGCGCGGCGGCGGTGCAGGAGCAGGAAGCAAAGAGGTTACCAAGCTCCCCGCATCGGAACGAGGCAGAGCCTTCGTGGTTGCAGGAAAGGCAATCAGCCCAGGTGGAGCCTCCAGAACAGAGCCTTAGTTGCTGAGTTCATAAGCCCCAAAAAGTGTAAACTTTTAGTTTTATAGTGGGCAATATTATCCCCAAAAGTGTACACTTTTGGTTTTATAGTGGGCAATATTACCACAAAAAGTGTAAAGTGTATCCACTCAGCTACTAAGGAGCCTAGGTCATGGTTGGGATCGTATTAAAAATGTACATCTTTATTCCTTATTGGGTTTAAGTACCCATAAAAAGTGTAAATTGTTGCCCAACTATGGCAAAGGAGCCCAGAGCTGCGTCCTCGTCGATGGTGGGCTGGATCTTGGCAGCAAGAACTCCCACCCCCGTCATCCAGAAGAGCACTTTCGTGCCGGGAGGCCCTACGCAGGCATCATCCACCTGGGTTAGGGTTTAGGGTTTAGGGTTGTCAAAACTATGGACCTTTTTTGGGCCCTTGATATAGTACGGCACCTAAGATTTAGGGTACCCAAATAGGGACCATCATTTTGACAACTACCCACCTGTAAGTCTCCATAGGGAGACTCTCGTGGAACCTCGAAGACTGCTCTGCAAGCTTCGCCTTGGCGTTGAAACAAACTCTCCAAGGATGTCCCAATGAAGGCGTAGAGGCGGCAACCGCAGACTGCAAAAAACACAAGCCGCTCAAGTCCATCTGCGGAAGAGAAGATCCGTTCACAATGCACACCCACCACTGGGGCAGGCCGATCAAACTCGAACACTGACTTCACAGTCCGCTCCTTTCCCTCGATGACGACATGTAAGATTTGAGCCGCTCGTGTGCCCAGGAGGATATCTCGGGTACTGGTAGTCGTTGCTTCTGGGTCCCATGCCGCTGCCTCCAGAACATGGCCCTTCAGCTTCGGTAGGGGCTTTGCCTGGTTGCTCTGGAAGTTGAGATACCATGTCTCACCACTGCCTCTCTTCTTCAACAACCGGGCCCCAAGAAGTTCAAACTTTCTAAGAAAGAAATAATATATAACGCCAAAAAGCTTAAAGTTCTCTCGTTCACTATCTAAGCTGCTGTTCGTGAGCAACGCATGGAAGCCGGTTGGGTCCAACAGTAGGCGGCTGACCTCACCGATCCGATCCCGCCCGAAGTCGATGAGGGCAAACTCATCCTCGTCCGGGTACCACCTTGCAACCTGGCCAGCAGCGACCATTCCAACGTACAACAAACAAACCCGCGCCTCGGAGTTTCAGGTATATAACTCCCCAAATAATGCAGTCCTATTAAACGGGACCCCGTAAACAAGCTACCCCTTGTGACCTGAAACCCCCCACATCTTGAAGAGCCTCAACACCAGTTCAACCTCGACTTTAGCAGCCCCATGCGCACGCAGCACCACAGAGAGCTCGCTATCCTTCAATTCAGTCTCTAACTTACTTAGGGAGCGAAGTAGTGAAGTAGGTAAATAGCTAAGCAAGCAGGTTAATCAGTTAGCTAGTTCGTAATCCGGCAGCATACCATACGCATCATATTAATTGGGGTTCTGAAACTCTTGTAGCGCGGCCCTGCCTCACCACCGGAAGACCAAAATCCTAAATCTAAAACCTAAGCCCCTAAACTCTCTCCCCCAAATCCTCAACCCGGCCCCACCTCACCACCATGGAAAGCTGCCAGCACACTGCCCGATGCGGCGGAAAGATGCGACAACCGCCGCTGGCCGCTCTTGAGGCCTGCGGGACAGCTTTCCAAAGTAACCTAGGAGCCTAGAGAACTACCTTAAACTACCTTAAACTACCATAACCTACTTTATTGTAGGTTCTTATTATAAGCCTTAATCTGGAAATTATAGGGACCCTACAAAACAGTAGGTTTTGGTAGTTCAAGGTACGGTTGATGGTATAAATCCCGCATTACCTTAATGACCCTAAACTTTGGGAATTATGGGTAATGCAGGGTTGCTATCATCAACTCTAGAATAGGGTCTTGTGTATGTTGTAGCAAAAAATGAATATGACAACGTTCCAACACAAATTTCGTTCGAACGTTTCAGGGTGCGGCCGGCTGTCTAGTTCGAGCGTTTCAGGGTTGTGAAGAAAGCGAGACACGGGAGCGACTCCCAAACCCCTTAATCAAGGAACATATCTTTAGTCATAATATATATATATATATATATATATATAAGGGTATCTTTAGTCATATATAGTCTTCCTGATGAATAAGGGGGTTTGGGGTCTCTGGGAAGAATCAATCTGGAGTCGAACATGCCAAAGGGCTGAATACAAGCGAAAGCACAAACAAAAACCTAGAGTTCTAAGCCCTAGGCCTTCAAACCCTAAACCCTCAACTCCTGAACCCCCCAAACGCTCAACCTTTGAACCCCTGAACCTTAAACCCTCAACCCCTGAACCTCCAACCCTCAACTCTAAACCTCAAACCCTCAACCCCAAACCTCAAACCCTCAACCCTAAACCTCAAGCCCTCAACCTCAAACCCACAACCCTTTTTGCAGCAGGCCTCGTTGTCCAGCAGCCCGGTTACAGCAACAGCCCCCACAACCCTAAACCTCAAACCCTCAACCCTAAACCCCAAACCCCAGGTAGGCCTTGCTGTTCCAGGCCCACTGGCGCTGCCGTAAATATCGGCCCAAGCCCCTGGCTCTGCTCCAGAAGAGTGTCCATCGCAACGCGAAGGAACGGAAAGGGTGACGGTTTAGGGTTTATGTAAGGTTTAGGGTTTAGGGGTGCAGAGGAACCGAAAGAGGAAGCACTATGATGTAAAGTTCGGCCTTGAAAAGGCCTACTACACTTTTAGGGCTCCTGATTTTGATTTCGGAATAAATTTGTATATACACATACACATAATGGTTCCTGAAACGGTTTGAGGTATACTGTGGCATAGATACACTCAGGAACCTAAAGCCTTACGAATGCTACAGTTTTTTTGTTCAAGCTTCGACACTACTCTGAATCGTCAAGACTGCAAGCACAGGACCCCTTCTCGGCTTGAGCCAAGTTCATATGGGGTCAGGTCGTGAACATGGGCTCGGAATTTTAGAAACCCTGGACCCTCAACCCTGGTACGCACTGAAACTCTCCTATGCGCGGCCATGATGCACCTCGCAGTGCGCGTAAAGACTTTGGGACAACGGTGCACTGTCAGGGACGCCTACACCGAAGACAGCAACGTCTGGCATCCCTAGGTGTAGGAAGCCCCAAATGCTTCAACTTCGACGCTGGTCGACGATCATGTTTCTTTTTGCCGCTGCTGCGTCGAAATAGGGCTCTGCCCTACTACCAGAAGGTCGCAGCCATGTAATAAGCCCTAAACCTTGAGCCCTTGCCATGAACTTATCGTGCCAAACCCAGGCCCGCCCCATGCCGTATGGACGTTGTGCAAATCAATCGAATCCCTACTTGTCGGGTATCATGGGGAACTAAAGGTTAAGGTTAACTTTTTTCGGTATACAAGGATTTTTTGGGGACTAGACTACCCAAAAAGGTTAAAGGTTACCTACTCTACTACTAGGAAGCTTAAGCTCCTGAGGACTACTGAGCAAAGCTTCGCAGGATCCGGTTTGTCTCGTCGTAATATCGGGAGATCTTCGGATAAATTCGGGCTTAATGGGTTTTAGAACCGGGCTGCGGCGTTACATTGTCACATAGCTGACAACCATGCAGGCAGGGTAAAGGCATACTACTAATTAACAACTTTAGTTTTCAGACCTTTAAACTACTCGTGGCTAGGAGCGCAGTCATGCTTTAGGATAGGCAAGCATAGTATAATGTAGGGGTCTGATTAACTAGAACAGGGCTTGGGGGATACTATACCATGATCACAATAAGGAACCACCAAAAAAACTACTCCTTAGTTAGCTTAACACATTATCTGCCTTTGAAGGGGACTGATCTGGAGAATGCTACCCAGCTTTCTGGAAGAACATACTAAATCCCAAACGCTGCCCACACTTGCCCTGGAACACCCAATTCTAACTATTTGGGCCCTTTTTTATGAATTTTAAAATCTTATGATTGATCCCCATAGAGGCCTTGAGCCATTCAAATACCTGAAACCCTGAACCCGAAACCCTAAACCGAAAGCCCTAAACCCCCAAAACCTGCGCAGAACTCTTTCAAACACCCTACTTGGAAGGGCAGGGGACTTAGTAAGTAGGGTTATAGTTGGGGTATCTCCAGTTAGGACACTTATAACTCTACTTATAACCTACTTACTAAGTCCCCTGTCCAAGTAAACCTTAACTCAGAAACCTCCGCCTAATCCCGCAGCTCTCATTCGAACACTTTCGGCTGCGAGTCGATGTCCTCGGCTGGAGGTGATAATGGAGAGTTTAGGGCTGAGGTAGTATTTATCAACATTATTGCTATACCCCCCCTTAGAACCATAATAGAAATATGAGTTTCAATATTCTCTTGGGATTTATACGAACCAAAATCAAAAAAATAATTCCTAAGGAGACTATATTAGTATTGAGGTTCCTGCGGAGTGTTGATGTTCAGGCTGAAGGCTCCAAGATATTCAGGATCCCTAATATAGGGTTCCTTTAAAGGGTTACTACAAGAGTACTATAAGGGTTCCTTTAAAAGGGCTCTATAAGGGTTTAGGGGTTTGGGAGTTTCCGAAATTAGGGGACCCGAATATAGAGTATATGGTTCCTTTATAGGGATCTACCAGGGTTCCTTCAAGGGTTTCTTTTAGGAGCCTATACATGGTTTAGGGTTTGGGAGTTTCCGAAAATAGGCGACCCTAATATAGTACCCTAAATTGTGGGATCCTTATTATAAGGACCTCATAATAAGGTACCCCTAAGTTTCTGAAACTCCCATCTGGAGCTGACAGTTTATGATCTAGGATCCCTGTCACGCTCGCATCACCACAACCACCAGACGTTGTTCTCATTCCTCTGCGTTGCAGCTGCTAGCTGTATCGCAACTCTCCGTCTTAATCTAGTGGTATTCTGCTGCGAAGTTGGCAGCTGCACATGTTGCACAATGTGGCGGTGCTGATACTTGGGCGTGATTCAACCCTCTTCGCGGAAATGTTGGCTTTGCTCAGAACCAGCAGCTTTTTCGTTCTTGCTGCTAGTTTTGCTACCAGTTGTAGACTTTTCTGTTCTGGCAACCGTCGCTTTGAAACGAACCATCCTCACGTGACTCAGGCCATAAAGGTCACGACTGAAGGACGGGCAGCAACAGCCGCAACCCCGCCACGAGAAGAAACATCAGGACAAACCACACACAGACAAACAGGAACTACTTGCCATGAGCAGCCACCCACTTACTGCTGCTGCAGTTGCTGAGGCTATCTAAGAACTGCAGTTAGTTCAACCGTGCTACTATCACTGCGAGTGCTAGTACTGTGCAGCGGCCGAAATGATCGCCATGGTCGTCAACATTGCTATGTCGCAGCATAAATGCTGCGACGAGACTGCTGGTGATATTGCCCAGTCATATTGTCGTCAATCTGCTCTTTTGCAACAATAGCAGGCCTATCCCCGAACAGCTATACCAGGCTTGCCCCTCACCCTGGATCTTCCCATTGCACATGTCGTGCAGTCTTCTTAGCTGTACGTCGAGGGTGGGGAGGGGGCGTATGGGTTTCGGGCATATGCGAAACTGCGGCCGCGGCCCCGAGCAACATCTTGTCATGATGTATGACGAGAGTAGATGGACGTACAGTTTCTGGCTTCAGCCGATGTACGCAAGTCAGCTAGGTGGCGTACGGGCGGGGGGCGGGTCGTCGAACACTTGTTGTGTCGCTGCAGCTGCAGTGGCATCATCGTAATGTCGGTGACGGTGGAACAAACGCCCTGCCTCTTGCTGTTGTTACCCTTTGCTGTAGTTTTGCTGTTGCCTTTGCACTTGCCTCTGTCATCGTTCATGTTGCGGCAACGGTGCGCCTTGTTGTAGAACAATGCCCAACCCAACTGATCTTCTACTTGGAGGCTCATGGGACTTAGTAAGGAAAGTTATAAGTAGGTTATAATTAGGATAACCCCACTTAGGGGACTTATAACCCCAATTATAACCTACTTACTAAGTCCCATGATCCTCTAAGTAGGTGCGCAACCACGACAAACCATAGCGATGTCCTTCACCCTGCCCCTTGATCGTCCAGAAGTGCTCCTTATTGCCCTGAAAAACCTACTCCAGACCAAACAAAGCCCTAAAAGCCAGCTAAAACCCAAAACCCCAAACCCCCTAAAACCCAAAAAATCCGACCTTAATTTCGGGTTTAGCTCAAACTTAACATCGGTTTTGGCTGACCCCGTCACACGTCAAGATTGGGTTTAGCTAAGGTTCTGCTAAACCTACTTAACCCAACAACCTCAAATAGCCTAAAACCCTAAACCCTGAACCTAAAATCCCCTAAAACCTAAAAATCACCCGAAAGCCCGAACCTTTTGACTTGCAGGCGAGGTGCATCTTTAATGCCGAGCACGCTGCGCTCAGCGGGGTGGTCTCGCATGGCACGGACCTGCGGGGAAGATGCGAGGAAAATCCCATGCAGGATCATCTGGGGTTGTGGCAGTTAAAGCTATTCTGAAGCATGGGTTTTCGTTTTTTTGGTTTTGGCATTCAAGACGTAAAGTGTCGGTTTTCGGCGTTGGAGGTGGGTGGTTGTCAAAATTACGGTCCCTTTCTGGGAACCCTAAATATTAGGTGCCGTGTTATATTAGGGACCCAAAAAGGAAGCGTAATTTTGACAACCACCCATAGAGATTCCGAATACACATTGCGTTTGATATAGAGTAACTCCCCTAAACCCCTTTTGCACCTGGACTACGCATATGCCAGGAACCGAGGCGCCGACTTTGCTGTGGGCTCGTGCCACACGGCTACCCCAGATTGCAAAAACTGATCCCCCAAACCCCTAAACCTATGCTGCTACGAGGAATTCGGGTTTGGCTTTCTGATCCCCTGGACCGGCCTCGTAGTTCATCCAGAGACTCCCAAAAAGCACATCAGCATAAGCATCTTACGGGGATATCCCTACCTTATTGGCCTTCATTTTAAGGGGGTTTATATGGGATATCCCTATCCTAATTCATATGTGCTTTTTTTGGGGTCCCTATTTGGTTTAGGGTTCCGGAAGAGGCAGCCGGGCCGATTCCCCAGAGAGCCCAAGCCCAATACCCCTTAATTAAGGAAGTATACCTTAATTTATTAGGGGTTCCAGGCCTTGAGGCTCCATTGTAGTTCCGTTATGTGCTCAGAAATAGAATCCTACAAGGTAATCCTGTAAATCAGCTACTATGGAGCTTATGGGTAATCATGCAACGCATTGAGGCAGCTCGAAGATCTCAACCTGTGGGGCCTAACATGCGTTCCTTGTTCTCTAACCCGCCTGCGACAAGAACCCAGCATTTGGTGCGGTGGGCCCTAGACCAAGTTCGATCTACAGCTGCGTGGGGTCAGGGTGTAGGGTTTATCATACAGGGCTCTAGGGTTTACGGCTTACCATACAGACTGAAACTTGCGGGTCCACCACAAAAGTCTCGAGGATGGGTGGCGACTGCTACTTTGGGTGTAGGGCTGAACTCGGCTACAACAAGTCGGGGATAAACCCTGAACCCCAAACCCTTGCGGGACAGCCGTAAATCCTGCACCCGAAGCGTGGAACCCACAACCCCAAACCTCAAGCTCCAACACTATCAGTATCCCCCACACCCGACACCCCACTGTAGGCCCATTATACTATTCTTATAGTAAGGAACCCCCAAAATAGTATAGGTATTTACTTATTCAGGCCCCTATATAACACACCCTGAATCATCCCCAACACTAAACTCCAGCCCGTCTTCACAGGCCTGCAGGCTTTTGATACGTATCTGAAGACTCGAGCTGTCACAAGCCCACGGGTCTCTGAGCTTGGGGAACTTTAGGGGGTCTATGGGGTTTATATAAGAGTTGTCTAAAACTCACTGACCCACAAAACCCAAGGAAATAAAAGTTGAGACTTTCAGAATCGATTACCTTATAAGAACACCAAAAGTTGAAAAGTTGAGTTTACAGCCAACAATAAGATTCCATTACAGGGTTTCGAGGGTGGGGGGGGGGGGGGAGCAGGCCTGAAAACCTGGCGTCAGGGTTTCGACTTTGCCAGCAAAAGCTTCGGATTTTGGGGCTTCAGGCTTCAGGGTGTTCCCTTAACCCCATATAAGGAAATCATAACAAGGAACCCTAAAAATCTAGGTTCCTGAAGGCCCAGGTAGGATTTACAAAATTTACCATACAGGGTTTTGGGTTTGGAGTTTGGGGGGTTCATGGACCTGGTTTAGAATTTAGGGTAGAACTTCAGACTAGTAAACGTGAGCGATGATGCAAGGGTGCTTATGGTGCCCATAGGTAGAGGTAGAGTGATAGTAGTAAGGACACGTAACCTAGGGGACATACGTACTACCGGCAATCATGTCATGAGACTCAGAATACAAAATATCAATGATAGTGTCTGGCCTTCATGTACTTCAGCAGCTTGTCTGCATCTCCCTTGAAGACGTCCTCGCAGCAGCAAGGTCGACATTCGGAAGAAGTCCGGAATCCCTACAAACTCAGGCTCTTCAGCCCAGCAGGGCAGCTCAACCCGGACCCTAAGGAACCTACGTTTTTAGGGCTCTTTTTTTTATGATTTCCTTATATGGGCCCTTAAAAAGGTGGGTTATTTGGTGTTAAGGAATACTTAGAGGATCATGGGACTTAGTAAGTAGGTTATAACTGGGGTTATAAGTCCCCTAAGTGGGGTTATCCTAATTATAACCTACTTATAACCTTACTTACTAAGTCCCATGAGCCTTCAAGTGCTCTAGGATTGATGATCTGCCGCTTTGCATTCTCAATCCAAAGGCTCGGCTGGTGGGATCAGACCCTCGGGATCTACAAAAGGACAAACTCTAAGCTTTACCCTAGGGATCTAAGGACTCATATATAGGGTTCCTTTAAAGGGATCTAGAAGGGGATAGGGCTTAGGGATCTAAGGACTCATCTATTAAGGCTTTTGGGCCCAAAGACCATACTATATAAGGTCATTTTGATCCCTAGGGATAGTGGACAGGCCCCTGCAAGGCTTGCAATGAAGTGCCCATTAGTCGGAATGGATACCAGCTGCGCGGGTCTGCTTTCTGGATTCTGGCGATCTAGTCGTACAAACTTCGGTCATTCCGGCAGCTCTCTTTCGCGCTCGAAAAGCACGGATCCTAGAAACTTCAGAATCCCATGTCCTAAACCCGGCCATACAACTGCCAGAGTCCAGACTACACTTTAGCAGGCCTAAACAACAACCCTGAACCTCAAAGCCGTGAATTCGTGTCAAGAATGTCATAGAAATGTTGTCCCAACTCTCCAACTTGGGACTCTTCTGGAATTACAACCCAAACTCTGTGTCTTTTAGCCATTTTAGGCCGGGTTAGGCGACAGGCTCAAGCTGTTGGCCCAGTCGGTGCTCCACCTCGCGGAAGACCCTTGTCTTGGCCGTGTGGGGAACGCGGTACATCAAGATCTGGCGCTCGCCCGATGCCGCGGCGATGGCTGTGACCATGACCTCAAAATCATATCGCAGCTGTGCAGGCAGGCATTCCGGAAATAGACCTGGGCAATGCCTCACGGCTTCCACGGCGATGTCCACGTCGCACTTATCGGATTCTGACAGCTCCACGTAGTAATTGCCCGGCCGATACTTCACAGCCTCTAGAGCAAACTGCTTGGAACGAGCTGGCTGCTCCTGAGACCGACTGTCCGCTTCTTCCAGGTAGGTCTGTAGAGCATGGAGAAGACGCGGGGAGTCAAAACACATCGCACAAACATCCCGAGCATGGACCACAAGTGCGCTGACAGGGTCCTTATTGTCCACCCCAAGGCTGCTTAAAACCGAGGTGGCTGCCAGCTGCCTCAGCTCTGTAGCATTGCCAAGGGCAAACTCAAAAGCTCGCACGTTCTTGGTCATAGCTGTCCTGACAACTTCCATGTTCGATTTCAAGTCTTCGGGTAAGAACTGCAGCAGCAATCCGTCATGACTCACGGCGGGGAGCGCCATCGACAGATCGGCACGGAGCTCGGCCGACGCATATGCTAACGCAGAGCCATTCTCTTGCATTGCTAGCCGGACCATGTCTAGGTTCTCCTGGAACCTGAGGCTTACAAACCGCAACATCAGGCCATTCTTCTTCACGAGAACCCTCACAAACTCCTCATCCGCTAGCAGCTCTTCTGTCGCATGCGTGCCGATGACACGGCAATCTTCCCTGCTGCAAGAGGCCAAAGTATTCCTTACTTGTCTGAGCATCCGAGGAGAACGAACAAAAGTTACCTTTTGAGATTGTATGCGGATGTAGGGATGGTAGTACCTCACAAAAGAAGCTAGAGGGCACCTACTCTTCTAGCAAGACTCAGCAGGAAGAACTTGTTTCCCCCCAGCCGGGGCAGAATCTCGAGCCAGCACCACGTCTTGAGCTCGGGCCTCTTGGCAAGTCTTGCTGCAAGACCTGGGATGGGCCGTAGCTGGGGCTCACAGGCCTTCAGCAAAACCTCGCACAGCCTTGCGTTCATGTCATCCGACGACGCAGCGGAAAGAAGGAGAATGTCTTCAAGGAACCTGTCATCTGTCTGGAGCCATGTTGACAAATTGAAGGCAGAAGTGTGGAGGCGCTGACGGGTGTCGTGGTGGGCAAAGCGCCGGGCCCGTCTTATCAGCTTCTCCTGCTCCAGATGGTGTTCGAGAAACCGCAGGGCCTGTCCTCTTTGACCGCCCTCCTTCAGCTCCTTCTCAATGGCCTGCTTCAGCTGCTTCTGGAAGTCTTCCTTCTTCTCCTGATCCCACTGGCACCTCACCACGCTCAGCGTCTGCACTTTATGATGACCTTTAGAGCTGCCAATATCACAGAGTTCGCCGTTGACGAGAATATGCATACTCAAAGGATTGTGACCTGTTTGGGCTTGGATGCTGCACTTCAGCTCCGACAAAGTCATCTCCTCTTCCAGGGAGCATTCGGCACTTTCCGCAGCCAACGTCAAGATCTTGATGGGACCGTCAGTTGGCTGCAGCAAGGGGTCGCTAACATAAGGCTCGTTGCTAGCGGAAATGTAGCCAGTGTGACTCGATGCCAGCGAGCCTAAGGCATCTTCGGCCATCCTCCAACGCCGGCACTGCACGCCAGGCTTACTTCGAGGTAGACGGGTTATGCGCCCAGCTAGTATGGGCTATACCATAGGTATGCGTACCCTACTTCTAGTCCTACTTATAGCAACCCATGAGCCTCCAAGTAACTCCACACATGCTATCTTTTACTAAAAGTTACGGAAGGAAATCATGATGATGGACCCTGTGCAATGTAGGAGCTCCAGGGTCATGCTATTGGGTTTGCTGGGCAAGGTTTTAGGGGCTTTTTCATGGAACCACTATGGTCCTCAAAAATAGGTATATTTAGGGCATAATAGAGGGTACTTGGGGTGTCTAGGTAGGGTTTAGGTTTGCGGCTGAGGGTGGGATTTGGTTGCGCTTTGGATCCGAAGGAGGCGAAGATTACTTGGAGGGTCGGGGGACTTAGTATAGTAAGTAGACTTATATGTACCCTAAAAGGGACCCTATTTGGGGTTATAGTACTTATAAGTCCCTAAAATAACCAGCTACTATGTCCCCCGACCCTCCAAGTAGGTACCAGTACTGCAGGGGCGACTGGGGGATCTTGGGGCGCATGAAGTCCTGCATGGCGGGGTTTAGGGTGTTTAGGGGTTTAGGGTTTAGGGTGTTTAGGGGTTTTGGGTTTAGGGGTTTCGACGCTCACACTCGCACAAGGCAGGCAAGGCTCTACTTTGGGGTTTAGGGCTTTGGGCTGTGTGTTGAGAGTGGCAAGCATGCTGTTGAGCCGATAGCACGGAGCTGTGCACTCATGCGGTCTCTCATGTCCCCAGTCTGGGTTAGGATTACTTAAGGATTTCTATAGGGGTATAGGGATGCCCTGAATCTGGGTTGGGGTTAATTCCGTGTTGATGTAGGGGTATAGGGATGTCGTGAGTCCGGATTTCCGGACAAAGGTTTCGGGGGTTTAGGAATTTAAGGGTCTAGGGTTTTCTATTTTGAGGGTTTAGGGGTTTGGGATTTCGGGGTCTAGGAGTTTACGGGTCTGGAGTTTATTCCGGGTTCCGGATCAAAGCGCAATCGTCTTTTCCGCTGGCAGAAAGCTGTGCTGCACACAGAAAGTTCCCGGAAGGACGCGAAACAGTGTAAGAGTGGACTCTACGAGGAAATCATAATCAAGGCGACACCAACACTTGTTGATGTTACAAGCAGGACTTGGAAAGGTCCAGGTCTTATCCCAAACCCGTTTTAGGGCTCAACACTGGATCTTCACGCTCATGCTCGGACAGGCCAGGAAAAGGCCCCAGCCTACCCTGAACCCTTCAAAACCTTCTTCTCTGCGCAGGCTCTCGAGAAATCCTATGCCCGTGGAACCCCCATGATGGTTCAAACGCGCTTCACAGGTATAGCTAAACATCGCAGGTTGTACATTAATGTCGAACCCTTGAACCTAACCTTCAATGCGTGCTGCCTAATCCCGAATCATACATTTCAAGCATTTCGGGCCCATCCAGTTGCCAAGACATTTCCCAGTCTCTTTGAGTGGGTGCATGAGGAAGTACGGCCGCTGTGCCAGGATCCGGGCAAGTGCAGGTGCGCACTTCCGAACTGTCACCAGTTAAGGCTTCAAAGCGGAACGTGGGTGCACGTCTGGCTGCTTTGCGGTGTGGCATCGTGCATGTACGTCGACATGTGAATCTGCGCAGGCAGGCCATGGCAGGAAAAGATGTACACAACACGCACTGACGCTTAGAAAGACACATAGTTGGATCCGTGACTAGACCCGTCCGCCAGCACACAAATGCCCTTCCCCATTTTGTACAAGTACTGCTGCATGCCTGCATGAATATGCAGAAGAAACGACGACGACCTGCAAGAATGCATTGACACAAACCCGCACTTTTCTGTGCATGCGAGTCAGTCAGTATGTGGTGCCTGTTGGGTTCTGTCTGTGTCTCGCCGTGACGAAGGTACGCGGATGAATGCATTTGTGTTTCGAGTCCCCGCGAATTACCTCCCACGCTTGAACGGTCACCATACCCTATAAGCCGCCCTAAACCATTAACAAAGTCTGCCCATCGAGCACGGATAAGGTGCAATGGTGAGGGAGATCCACGACGGTGATGCAGGGGTTTTGGGTTGTGGGGATGGGGGTTTCATTTCTGGTTTAGTTAAGGTTTAAGGCTTCGCAAAATCAGCAAGCTTGTGTGGAAGCTTCAACTGCGGAAGCTGCGCCTGCTACTAGTCCCAAAAAGCCCAATACCCCTTAATTAAGGAGTATAGCTTAAATCATTAGGGACTTCATATTATGATTTATAAGCTATATTCCTTAACTAAGGGGTATTGGGCTCTCTGGGGTCGGGCCGTCTGGATGGCGTGGGCCATTAAAACTACGCCAGCGCCGCGGGGTGCATTTGCACATCTACGTCTCGAGCGCTGCGGGAAAACACCGGATGCAGCAAAGCATGCGGGACACCAAGTCAAAGTCGCACTACCAGTTCCCTTCCAGAACCATACCTTCATCTACTACACCGAATTGCACGATCTCCAAATGAAGCCTCCCTCATAGAGAAAGCTTAGGGGACGTATATTAATTAAACCATTAGGTTGTGGAAAGATAAAAGCAGGAATCTACCAATACTATCCCTCAGGATTCCATAACTCTTTCTTACTACAATGTAGCCCAAAACCAAATCCCCACAATACCTTGCAGTAACCCTTCTAGAACCCCTGTACTGGAAATTTTCTAGGAAGCCCTGCTCTGGACAATTTAAAGCTCCTATAGTAGGTTATCCAAAGCAGCAAGTCAAATCGCTGTTTGCGTTGGGGACGAGTGCTTCGAGTTTACGATTTTTACGTTTAGCGGTTAGGGGTGTAGGGGTTTAGGGTGTCTAAGCCAAGCCCCAAACCCTAAACACTAAAACCGGAAAGCTCTAAACCTAAAGCCCAAGACTAGCACCCGAAGCTCTAGACTCCACCCTAAACCCAAGGCCATCAAGCCTAACGGTTGATGATATAAATCCTGCATTGCCCATAATAAGGAACAAACCAGTATTCCCATAGTTTAGGGCCCTTATTACCCATAATAAGGAATATACCATAATTCCCATAGTTTAGGGTCCTTAAAGTAATGCAGGGTTTATATCAACAGAAGCACGAGACCCGACTACCTCCAGTCCCCAGCCCTGGCCCCTAAACATCGTTGAGCCCTGAACCTCCTAAGCCTTTCCTGGTGGCTGAGTATCCTAGCCCAAAAAAGGTTAAACTTTTAATTATGGTAGGATCATCAGAGCCCCAAAAGTTTAAAGATTACCTACTCAGCCCCTAAGAGCTGTTCCGGAACCAACTGGGAAAAGTCAATACCTGTTTTGGTTTGGTCATATTGTATCAGGAACCAATACCACCCCAAAAAAGCAGGAAACGAACATCCGAAGCCCTGAATCGCCTAAGCCCTGAAGCCCTCGGCCCAAGCCCAAACCTCACGACCTCAACCTCGAACTTGGTGTCACGAACCATCTGGGATCTTGCTAGGGACTTTACTCTAATTGAAGTTGCCATGATCAGGATCCATACTGTTGATGGACAAAATCCTGCATGACCTTAAGGACCCTAAACCTAAACTATGGGGAATTATGGAATATTCCTTATATTGGGTCATGCAGGATTTAGCCCATCCACCGTAGCAAGAACTGTGGTGTCCTCGTTATGGCAACTTAGGTCCCAGTAGGCCACAGTATATGACATGGTTTCCTTATAATAGTACATTACCCTAACCCCACATAACCCACCCTTTTTCAGGACCCATACAAGGAGATCATAATAGGGAACCCTAAACTTGTAGGTTTCTTAGGGTCCAGGTAGTTTCAAGTCCTAGACAAGAGCCCAACTGAGTTCGAAGTATATAGGCCACAGTGTATGACATGGTTTTTTTTATGATGGTCCAGGTATCCAGGTAACCCTAAACCCTAAACCATATCCTAGGTAATTTCAAGTCCTAGACAAGAGCCCAGTTATCCGGCAGATGATTCAGCTAGGACCTCTTCAGGCCGCCAGTCCTAAGGGGACGGCCGCTGCAGAAAAATTGCCCGACAATTTCTGGGAGGTTCATGGGTGGTAATAAGGTTCCTTCACGGGATCTAAGAGATCTATAGGCTAGTTGCAAGGTTCCTGTAAGCGATCTATATAGGGTTTAAGGGATAGGGTTTCGGCGCTCACACTCGGACAATCCAGGGATAGGGTTTAGGGTAAAGGGGTAGTTATAATATAAGTAAAGCAACTCTACTTGTGACCAATATTGGGACTTACAACCCCGCTTATAATCACGAACCTCCAAATAGTAGGGTTTAAGGCTGAGACTTTAGGGGATATTAGGGCCCAGCGTTTAGGGTTTAAGGTTGGGAGGCTTAGGGCGGCAAAGCTCGAAAGTTCCGGATACTACGGTTAATGATACAAACCTGGGGTTCCTTCCAAGGGATCTATAAGGGTACCCTTAAGAGGTGCCTTTAAGGGATCTATAGGGTTTTTAGGGTTTAAGGTATTAGGTCGCCAAACTATGGGAATTGTGGCATATTCCTTATTATGGGTAATGCACGGTTTATATCATCAACCGCAGGGGAACGACCATCATCCAGCTGCCACTCATCTAATGCTCTGCTCCCTCTCACAGCAACCTTGGATGACAGCGAGCCACCCTAGACGCTGAACCTACTGTAAGCCCTAGACCCTCAAAACTGAAACCCCTACACCCTACATCCGAACGCAAAACCCCGTAGCACACTGCTAGCATTTTTATAGTTTTGTTGGCCCCTCCCCCGCAAAATCTCACTCGGACCCAGATGTCAGCATCGTGAATGAGAAACGCGTTTGTTCTTGACATGTCCCTCCAAAACCCCTAGAACGCTAAACCCTACGAATCTCTTGTGTCATGTTTAACTAGACCTAAGAGTAGCCTAGGAATAAAAAGGGTGCCCTTTTTGGTTTAAAGGGGTTTATAAGGGAACCTGAACCCCCAAAAAAAGGAAATAAGGGCCTACTCTGGGTCCTAGTTAATGTTGTGTTTGCTCCAGGTTTGGGTCGGGCTTCTGATTTAAATTGATGGCCGCAGGGCCATTAAGGACTTCGCACTTAGGGCCTCTTGGCGCAGAGTTTGGATTTTCCCAGAGGGTGCCCTATACAGATTCACGGCTTTGGGCAAGCTTCGGGTTTAGAGTTTTTAGAGTTTAGGGCTTGGGTTTACAATAAAATGGTAGATAAACTTCCCATCCTGGCAAGCACTGGAGGGGTCCATGGGTCCCAACCACCGAAGTTGATAGGGTTATGGACTAAAGGATTAGGGTTTCAGGGTTCGGGGTTGAAACATTGCCACGAAAGTCAGGCAGCACATCAGTTTCATAGTTATTGGGTCGATTTTTGGTTTTGCTGCAAAAACCCAGTCATCTGGGGATGACAGGACCGCCCCTGACGAACCGAACTGTCCTACTGAGACATTGCCGACATTCTGGAGCGATTTCGGGATCAGGCTCTAGCTAGCAAGTTTAGGGCTTTGGCTGTAAAGTGTCGAGGTGCTGGGCTTTGGTGTTGTTTGTTTGGCTTTAGGCTTAGGTTTTCCATGCATGGGTTTATGGTTGAGGTTTGCCACATTGGTGCTTCATGGCCATCCGAGTGATCAACTTCCCTAATCTCCAAAGCCTAAATCCCAAACTCCAAACAAATGGAAATGTTTAGCCTTTTGGTATCATGCATGTCATGTCCCCCTGAAGACGGCATGCTTTCTAGTGCTTCTAGGGCTGTGGAAGACCCTAGCCTTCCAGACTCTGAGATGTCACAGCAAAAGCAACGGGGACAAAAGGCAACGGGTTTAGGGTTGAGGGTTTCCTCGCAGTTCTTAAGGCGCCATGGAAGCGTCTCAAATAACTTGTAAAGACCCTAAGAGCCCTGTGAAATCCACTGAAAGAACCTGGAAGCAATGTAAGATAATGTTGCCATCAGCCGAATTCCCTGACAAGAACAGCCCAGGCTCAGTTGAAGCGAGCCAGGAAATTCAGAGCCTCAGCTGATGAAGGGTTGAACTCCGCTCCGGTTAGACACTGCGCAAAGGTTCATGCGCGGAGATCCCTATTTAAAGAGACCACAATGAGGCCCCTTAACGCAACAAACGAACCAAAAAACTCAGGAGCCTTTTGTTGAACGTTTTTGTTAAACTATAGCTAGAAACTTGAGTAGTTAGAAATAGTGCTCCATAGGGCCATAGGCTCCCCTAACATTTGTATGGTACAGAAAACCCCCACGACCCCTGCCTAAATATAGATATAACAGCTTCATGTCATTACGCTTGTCATTTACCAAAAGGAGTCACGCAGGGTAGACCTTAGCTCAAGGGCTGAGAGTGCCCTGGCCCAAGAAAAGTTGATGCTTTCAATTTTGGTAGGCTATGTACACCCCGAAAGGTTAAAGGCTACTTACCCAGCTACTGAGCTAAGACTATGAAGCTCCAAACCTGGCTAAGGGGCCATGTTCTTCCAACTGTTGTCCTTGATCTCCTTGCGCAGCTCATCGCGCTCCTTGAGGTAGCGGCCTCGACAGTGACTAAAGGATGCTATTGCTAAGAATATAGAGTTTGCCGCAATCCGAGTACGACGACAACGAAGCATTAGCCTACCAGGGTGTGAGGGAATGGGGTAATCTAGGGGCGAGTCTTGGGGTATATTATGCGATACCTTTAAAGGACCCCCGCGCACCTGTAGTATAGGCTCCTGAGTTTAGGCTGCGTTCAAGGTTCGAGGATCTTGGTGCTTACAGGTTTTAGAAGTTAACGGTTCAGGATTTGCAGCAATATTCCTTTTGTAGTCGAGGCGGCAGCTTTAAAGATTTTGCAGGGCTCCACAGGATCTTATGTAGATGTTTTCACACTCCTCATGTTTTGATAAACCCAAACTCCGAAATCCTTCAAGTAGGAATAGGAATTCATGAAACTGGTTGCTTAGTACGGATAGAAATTCGGTTCAAGGGAAATTTGGTTACATGCTTTGCCATCCTGCACCGGCCGTCAGGGTCTAGCTGTAGTGTGTGTGTGTGTGTGTGTGTGTTACTTCAGAGTAAACTTCTTATAATGGAGTTATGTAGTCTGCATGGGGTTTTTGGAGTTTTAATGAGGCCTTGTAGGTGTGGTGTATCGGAACTTATGATTTGGGGATTTTTAAGTCTCCAGGTTTCTGGGGCGTAGGGTCCCTTTAAAATTACGTAGGCCTTAGAGATTGGGGTTCCGGGTTTTGGAGCTGCGGGCGTTCGGATTTCAGGCTTTGCGGCTCTAAAAAGCTCGCAGCCTAAACCCAATATTGTAGGAACCTGATTAAGAAAACCCTGGCCCAATAAGCCCAAAGTAGTAGCTATAGAGTTCATATAAGGAACCCTACTAAGGACCCAAGACTTCTTAATCAGGTTCCTACAATACCCTGAACTCAGAATCTGAAAAGCCCGAGCCTGTGTCCACATACTCCTCCATGAAGCGGTCGATCTGCTGTACAAAAGCAGCGGCACCGTTCTCCTGCACTGCGAGCACCACCTGCCTATCCTCTGTGTGTCTTGCTGCCCAAACCGGTAAACTCGCAATCCTAAATCCTCAACCTTAAACCCTGAAATCCAAACAGTAGCCGTAAACCCAAACCCCAAAACCCCAGGTGACCTAAGCACTAAACCCTAAGCCCTGCATTCTTTGTCCTAAACCTTACACCCGAAACCAGATTCTAATGGTCACACTCACAGAATACATGTGCTTAACTTATCAGAACAGGGTTTCCGTACAGGATCCTTAAGGGGTTCTATGGGCGTTACCATACACAAGGGACTGTCGTGACGTAGGGTCCTGAATTATTGGATTGGGATCTCGGGGATATGGGTGTACAGCTGGGCCTATAAATAGAAACATCGCTGCAGAGCTAAAGCGGTGATCTGTTCGTGGTTTGGGCCGTGGTGGAAGTTGAAGTCGCACTATGTCGCACTGCACCACCACCCACACCAACACCACTGTATTAGCCGGCCTAGCATAACTATGATGATGCCTGTATCCCTGCGCCACACTATGCTTGCTGCACAGCCATTGGCATGCCCATAGGCTCCATAGATAGTAGCTCCTTTTGGGGATTACTTTATAGGGTAGTTCTAGATATGAACCCCCAGAAGGAACTACGATGGAGTCTCTGGGTATCCACAACCGATCAACAACAGTGCTTTGCATTCTGCTTACGCCTCGCTGGCGAACGAGAGGCCTTCAAGGGCCCGACTCCCCACCCCTCCCAAAGATTCACAATGCTGCCATCTTGCTTACTATCTTTGGCTCTTAACTCGGAAGACTCGTCTCCGAAGTCGCTTGTGTTGAGCAGGGTTTAGTAAACGCCCTACAACCCTGGGAGAAACAACAACAGTCAAAGTCCAAAGTAGCAAACTTCCTGCAGCGGATGCGACAAAACGCCACAGCCATACAATAGTGCAGCCGACCAAGCCATGCAGGATGCAGCGTATCCCAGAAGTAGAATCCGAATTCTAAAGCCTTCCCGATCACCACCCGTGTCGAAACCCTAAACCTGCACCCCAAACTCCTAAACCTTAGACTATACTGAACTTAGAACCCCAGCAAAAAATATAATTTTAGCTGTTTCTTAGGGATTATAATAACCAAAAATTAAAAAATATTTCTAAGTACCCCTAAGTAGACCCTACGGCCCCTGAGTCCCAAGGCCCTAAACCCTATTCTCATACTTGGAGGCCCTTTTGACTTAGTAAGTAGGGTTAGTAAGGTGGGTTATGGGGATTATAATAGGGTTTCTAGGGGATACTAAGTAGACTTACTAAGTCAACAGGGCCTCCAAGTAGCTCTTCAAAATTCTCAGTGCAAAGATCCGCTTAGGGCGAAGGGTTTGGGATGTGTTGCAGTCGATGACTCATGACTGCTCCCCCTGCACCTTCAATCCCGACCCGTAGCCCCTGACCGCAACCCTACGGACCTTAACCCTAAGCACTAAACCCTACGGCCCTAAACCCTAAATTCTAAACCCTAAAAACCCTACGGCCCGAAGCCCTAAGCCCTAAATGCTAAACCCTAAACCCTACGGCCCGAAGCCCTAGAACCGAGGCCCGCCGAAGTCCTTGGCCATGTCCTTTGCAACGGTCGCAGCCTTCTGCCCTGGTCCCCGAGCTTCTTTCGTCAAGCCCGAAATGGGGGACCCTAATATAGAGTATATGGCTCCTTTAAAGGGATCTACAAGGGTTCCTTTAAGGGTTTCTTTTAGGGTTCTACTAAGGGTTTAGGGTTTGGGTGTTTCCGAAAATCGGGGACCCTAATGTAGTCCAATAAATAGTAGAAGGACCCCGAAATAAGGTACCCCTCATTTTCGGAAACTCCCAAGTCTTTTTAACCGTAACAGGTTCCTTTATGGTAGAGTTCTAGGATTTTTTGAAAGGGCTTTACAAGTCTAAGGGTCCCTTTATCGGGTTCTACCAAGGATTTTTGTGGAAGGGCTTTATAAGGCTTCCGTGAAGGGTTCCTTTAAAGGGTTCTGTTCTGGAGTCTAGTGGCACACCTGTAGCCAAATGAGCCCAGAAAGCCTATCCCGGACCTGGCCTCTCCATTGTCCTTTCTGAGAGCCCAATACCCCTTAATTAAGGAATATACCTTAAATCATTATGGGCTTAATATTAAGATTTAGGCTATATTCCTTAGTTAGGGGGTATTGGGCTCTCTGGGGATGCTAGCAGCACCCGCATCACTCCCTCGATGTGGAAGGTTAACAGGCTCATCTGCACGGGGATTGGCCATGTCAAATCCTCGTCTTCCTTCACCTTCAGATGCGCAATGGCCGCCGCCACAGCCTGCTGTCGCTCTTCCGAGTTAAAGGGAACTCCAGAAAGTTGGAATATGGATTAATGGTCGGATCCCCTATAATTTACCTTAAAGGGGTAACGATAATGATATTCCAACTTTCTGGCTTCTACTGTAGCCGGCAAGGACAACATCTGCGCCGCCTCACAGGCGACCATCCTCTTCTCCAGCAGCACGGTCGCCTTCGATGCCGTCCTCGAGCCCAAGAGTTTCTTGGCCTGATCTGGTGACTGAAACTGCATCGACACCTTCATATTGAAGTCGTATTGCCATCTTGACGGATTTCTATCGACACCTTCAGATTGAAGCCACATTGACATCTTTGCAAGATTTGCCTCGAAACCTTGGTGTTGCAGCCATTTTGACATATTGAAAGGGTTTGCAACAGCACCTTCAGAGGCCACATTGACTGCCATATCGCCGTACTGAGAAGCAACCTGATGTAACTGTGTAGGCCGGTTTACCATTCAGGGCACTGCGATGGTGGTTTCTGCCACGACGGCTGTTCGTCAGTTTACTGAAAACAGCTTGACGAGGATGACCCGGAAATCAAAAATGAACCTTACCCAGTTAGGGATTTGGGCTCGCAGGCAGGCCAAGCTAAACTGGCAATTGGGGCGTTTGATGATTCAGTATATGTTTCAAGTATTGGCCTATACGTCCAGGGTGTTTGTGCAAGCTTCTAACTTTGTTGTTTTCGGACAGATGGTTATCGGTTAAAGGTTCAGGTTCCAGGTTCATAAGGTATCGTCAGCAGCAGTATGTCTTCGAACGGGTTTGGCGGGATGTAAGCCGACTGCACGTCTCTCTTGTCTTACCACCTATCCCCGAAACCCCTAAGACCCGCAAGCATAACTCGCTTGAACCCCTTTGAATGACCATGACATAACCCTTACAGTACCCCACGAACACCCCAAAGGTCTCTCTGTCTCTTTCTTTCTCCAGGTCCAGGCTTGGGGCACTATGCGCTCCCAGCACCCCATGAGAATCCCTCAAGCTTCAAACCCTACAGCCTTTAACCCTGGTAGTTTCCCTGAGGCCAGCCACGGATCTCCGGGGAGTCGATACACTTGCGGATGGCAGCAGCCAGCTCCGCCGGCGTGGTCGAGGACATGGCCTCTGCGGTTCCCTATAAGGGTCGAGGTTTTATGGGGTTCGTTTAAGGTTTACGGCTTCAGAAGTTTATAGGACATGGCCTCTGAGGGCTTTCAGGGACTTAATGCCGCTTTTCAGTTTAGGGCTTCCCATTAGGCTTTAAGGTCTGCTTTAGGGTTCAGGGTTTGGATCATCTGCAGGCTTGTTTGCTGCTTACGAGCTCCACAACTTCACGTTGAACCGGACAGGCAGGCAAGTACTCGTCTCCACCAAGACGATGTGGGTTTGGGATTTCACTCCGTTTTTTCCGGTAGAAGAGAATGCCGCAGATCCGCGGCACCGCGCGTCTCTTTCAAACAAGCCCCTGTAGGGGTTCAACAGCAGCCAATACCATTGAAGTTCTCCAGGTCAAGAAGGTCCTTGAGGTGGGCAAGGTCCTTTCCTTGTGGGGGAGACCTCGTCGCTCCGGCGCCCTCCATGTTCAAGCCTGAGTAGCGTGGAAGCGCAACATGTCATAGTGACTTCCGAGTCATGGCTAAAGCTTGTGCAAGTTACTTAAGCCGTACTTAGAGGTTCATGGGTAGTTATCAGTAGGGTTTATAAGTAGGGTAACTATACTTATAACCCATATTAGGAGACTTATAGCCCCACTTATAGCTACCCATGAACCTCCAAGTAGTCGCTCAAGGGTTTTACGGTATCGGGCGAATTTCTCACGCCCGGATGTTTAGGGTTCAGGGCTCAGGGTCTAGGTTTAGGTCCGGTTTTGGGGTTCAGGATGGGGCGAAACCCCGCCTTGGTGTCCCAGCATCTGAAAAGAAAGCTTGGAACACGAGGCGCGTGGGAGTTGCAATTGGACTTGGGGAGCTTAGGGCTTTAGGATTTAGGGTACTAGGATGGGGTTGCTACCATGACGGCCGTTTATCAGTTTTTCTGTAAACACCTTGATGTGTAGGAAATCACGTTAAGCCCAATCCTGAACTCTAAGACTCAACCCCTTTTTGAAACTAAGGTTGCTGGCTGCCAGAACATGACCAACCCCGACTTGTTGCCAAGGATCCCACCTGAACCCTGAACCCTTACCTCGGTATACAGGGACAACATTCAGGCAATATATATATATATATATACATATGTATATATATATGTATATATATATATATACACACAAGTACATATATATATATATATATATATATACATATACATATTTGTATGTATGTATGTATGTATGTATGTATGTATACACACTATGAGTAAGCACATGGGCCCGTAGGGGATGCTATGAAGGGAATCCAGCGGATGGTTCCCGGAAAGCGCAGAAAAATGGGGTTCGGAGATATTTATGGTTAGGGACTTGGTGTTTCGGGTTTGAAAGGGTTGGACTTAACCCAGAGACTCCAATATCCCTTAATTAAGGAATATTCCTTAAATCATATTAGGGATCCTAATATAATTTCAGGAATATTCTCCTTAATTAAGGGATATTGGAGTCTCTGGGAAGGTTAAAGGCATCCAGGTGCGTGTTTGGGAGGTTCCGGATGCCTTGAACACCCAACTGTTAAACTCTAAGCCCTATAAACATAAACCCCTGAAGCCCTGAAATTCTCAAACCCCTGGAACCCTAAACCCTGTAACCCTAAGCTCTAGGCTTCAGGCTTCGGGCTCGATTAAGTCTTTAGGTGAGGCGTCTGGGGGCTGGTGGTGAATGGGCCTTTGGAACATCTCCTGCACCCGTCCAGCACCTTTTGAAATTAAAACCTACCCGATGTCCCCTCACCATGCAAAACATCCCAACTCCCTAAACCCTCGACTCAACCTTTAAAGCCTTCACGCTAAACCGCTAAAGTCGAAATTCTGCGGCCTTAGACCACCCAACCCTAATCCTCGATCCGACATGCTCGGCGAACCCAGAACCGTGGTAGAACGCTCAATGTCGGCTCCCCGATGCCCCCTTCATAACTAAAGGCTCGCCTTTACTGGTATTCAGTTTCAATATGAGGACCCCAAAACAAACAGGGCAAAAGGGTAGTACGGGGGAACTAGTAGACCCTGAGCTCCGATAGATCATTTTGACCCTTCTAGGGTACTACGGGGGAACCTAGTAATAAAAACCTAAACCCAAAAGCTCTAAACCTTAAACCCTCAACCAAAAGCCCTAAACCCTGAACCCTAAACCCAAAACCTTAAACCCTAAACCCAAAACCCTAAACCCTATAAACCCTAAACCCAACACCCTGCCGCCTTGAGCCCAACTCCGAAGCCTCGCTCGTTGGCCATGGTGGCATGGTAGTATTGGTCCTGGCGACAGCTAGGGCATTCTTGCAGGTGAAGGGTTTTAGGGTTTCAGGGTTTTAGGGGTTTAGGGGTTTAGCGGCTTCGGTTTAGGGTTTCACGGTTTTGGGTTTAGGTTGAGGTTGCATCAAGGGTTCTACAAAGGTCCCTTCAAGGGTCGATTATGAAAGAGTCTGATTTTCTGGGTTTAGAGGTCTAGTCAGAATTCCTTTAACGGGTTCCTCTGCCGACTCCTTTGAGGTGTTAGGGCCTCAGGACATTTGGGAGTTTCCGAAAATCCAGGGGGGGGTACGTTATTTTGGATCCTTATATTAACGATCCTACTATTTGGGGTACTATACTACGTAGGGTCCCCTATTCTCGGAAACTCTCATTTGGGATTTAGGGCTTACAATGGGTGACCTGAACAATCTAAGACCAGGGCTAAGGCGTTTCCTAAACGTCAGCCTCCTATGCTACGGAGATACCCCAATCCCTAAGGGTCCATTATATACGTTTGCCCCAATGTACCTATATAGGGAGAACTTTGAGGCCAAAGTATATACTATTTTGGTACATGGACCCTCAGGGAATAGTCACTATTCAGGGATGTCTCCCTAAACCCTTGTTGAAATTTGTGCTGAGGCCGAGGCATACAATTCGAAAGGCATGCACGCGGCGCAACCTCCCTAAACCCTTCCGCGACAGTCTAAAGCATCCTTACTACGAACCTTCAGCTGAAAGCTTCTGGCGTCGCTGGGTCATGTTGGGGCATTACTAGTTCGAGGAGGGCTCCTTGCAGGGTTTAGGGTTTAAGGCTTATGGTTAAAGGGTTTAGGGGTTCAGGATGTACAGGGTTCCTTTACTAGGAAGGTTCTGATTCCATGTAGGGACCTGAAGGATTCGAACAGGGTGTCGGTGCCTAGTATACTATCTTTATTAGGGACTGTCAGGGCATAGTACAGCTGGTTAACTATGCAAGCACCTATGCAGCCGTCTATTTGATGGTTTAGGCTTTAATTAAGACTTTGCGGTCCGATTCTCACCCTGACACTTCTGCTTCAGGGCTTTGCGCTCTCACAACGCGGACTCGCGCGAGGTCTTCCGGTTCGCTATCGGTTCCTGAGAGGGGCTGAGTACCCTAGCCCAAACATGTTCAACCTTTTCATTCATGGTAGGATTATATACACCCCAAAGGGTTAAAGGTTACCTACCCAGCTACTGCGGTGCTACAAGTACTTTGGACTAGCACGACCTGCATCCCAGGAGGGAAGGCTATGATTGCTCCTGGCTGCCAAGTTTTTCGGCTCATCAGCCAAATCACGCACCAGTATTCCTTCTCCGCAAACATGCAGTGCAACTCTTGTTCAGTTGTGGCCCAAATAGCACGCTGAACTACCCAGAGAGCCCAACACCCTAAGGCATGTATCTTAAAAACAAGGGGCTTCATATTTTTGGGGGTATTGGGCTCTCTGGGTAGCCCGGAGGCTGGAGCCACTCCACCGTACCACGAGGCCAGCGCCCCCCCGCTGCCATGCGAGCATTGGTGGGTAGCGTATGACGTGGTCAGCACGGTGGCACTTGATTTCCAGCCATAGCGTAGATGGGATTTTGGTTTTCGGGTGCTGTGTGAGGATTTGAGGTTTCGGGCCAAAAGTCCAAAAACTTCTCCAAAGAAAGAACAGTGAAACCCTGCAAGGCCGTATTCCCCCAAGACCCCCTGCAGGCACCCGAACTCGTCAAGTTTTCAATCCCCGCCCTAAGCCCTTAGGAAGCAAGCCCTGGAACCCATGTCACTCTGCAATGAAAGAGCACAAACCACGAAGCCCAAAAGCCCTCATATATTCTTGTGCCCGATAAAACTGTATGATAAAATCCGGCGCCTTAAACAGCTCATGAATCCCTACAACATGTATCAACTCAACACAAAATCACAAACTCCTCTATACCGCGGGTCAGAACCTTATGTCCCATAATCCCGAAGTCCCTAATACTATAGGGGCCTTAATAATTTAAAATCGGGTTTTGGGTATAGTATACTACAGATTATAATAAGGAACCCCCACAATAGTATCGGTAATTATTAAGGCCTCTAATATAGAACCCTATATTATAGATCCCTTATAGGACCCTTTTAAAGGAACCCTTGCCGCTCCAAGAAGATCGGTACGACCACTGTGGGCACGCCGCTGAGGATTGAGGCGTTGAATGTCCCGGCACCGCCTGAGTACTTCTCTAGCTTTACGCCGGTTTAAGGTTTAGGGTTTAGGGTTTAGGGTTTAAGGTTTAGGGTTTAGGGTTTAGGGTTTAGGGTTTAGGGTTTAAGGTTTAGGGTTTAGGGTTTAGGGTCTAGGGGTCTCACAACTAGGACGCAGCCAGGCGAGGTACTTGGGTTCGAAGGTCGGCGTGATACATTCAAGACCGGATTCTCACATGTACCTGGGTTTGGGGCATTTAGAGTATCAGTAGCTTAGGGCTGAGGCTTGTAGACTAGGGTTTTTTACTTCTGCACGTTTCTGAAAGCGAGGGCGTACTAAGAATGACAGCTCGCGCATCTGTCGAAGCTTGCGACGGGAAGATGTCTGAGCATGGCCAGTAGTTTTGTTTTGGCAGGCCTTCTTCTTCCCTCTGTGGGATCATGTGGACCAGGTTTTCACTTGATCTGACGACACCCTTTCTGGTTCGCGAGTTGTGAAGAAGATCTTTCCCACGGTTTAAGCTTTTGGGACCAGATTCATCAGACCA